GGATATCTCAAAGCGGTCTCGGGCACCCAACTCACACGAAGGACGGTCAAACCAAGGGGCTCGACAGCGCTTACGGTTTCAAACAAGGCATGGGGGAGGCTTTCATCCAGCAGTTAGATTGACAAAGGGCAGTAAAGTATAATTATTCTCGAACGGTGTCGTGTGTCAACACGTGACTGTGTGGTGGGGGGCATGGTGGCCCCCGCGAGGGTGACCCACATGTGGCACAGTGGCCCTAGGGCCAGATTGAACTTGCAGAGAAGCTCACCACCACAACAAGACAAAGATGCCCCGTATAGCCTGTGCTGTTCGCGAGCACCTATGACGGTCGGCACGGCACACGAGGGGGTGGGTGGCCGGCGCCACGCCGGGCCACCTTTGTCTCCCCAGTGGCGATCTTTACACACCGCACCGGGTACTCATTTGAGGCTGAGTCGACCTAGGAGAGGCCCAGGACCGGTTCAGATAATCGTCACTGGGTGTTGGCCGGGAGCGGGAATTGAATTCCGGTCGCCGGGTTTGTAGCGCAGCGCGCTAACCGCTACACCACCGCTCCCCAAAGCTCAGCGCCACAAATACACACGCACACACTACACACACTACACACACGCACTACACTACACACACATACACACACACTCTACACGCACGCACACACTACACACACGCACACACTACACACACACACATACACACGCACACACTACACGCACGCACACACTACACACACGCACACACTACACACACACATACACACGGACACACTACACACACACACTACACACACACGCAGACAAGCAGTGGGGGAGGGGACCCCAGCGGGGTTCTGCCTGCTCAGGTGTTGGGGTTCGGCCGAAAGCGAGGGAACAGGCGGCGGCACCTGCGGCGCGTGGCGTGTGTTTGACGATCCGGCCTCAGCGGGCGCGTGACTCGTGGATTTGCCCCTCGCTGTGCGGTGGGTCGCCCACGGGCCCCGCGCTCTGTGGATCCACCGGGCCACCCGCGCGCTCGCCACGGTGTGTTTCAATTTAGCGGCATGGCCACATCTCCTTCTTTCGAGGCAGATTTTCTCCAAAAATGTTTTTAAAAATATTTTTTATAATAAAAGACGGCTGGCAAATGATTCACTTCCCCGGTGACTTCATGAAATTTTACTGTTCGTAACCCACAAATGGATTCAATATCCCAGCTGGTTTTTGTTGTTGTTGTTTTTAGGCGTTGCTTTAATCGTTTAACGTCTTTGATGTCGTTGTTCTTGTTCTGTGCCGAGGCACCATGGATCTCACTTGCAAATTAGCTGTGCAACTAGCTACACGGGATTATGCGTGTAATAAATAAACATGGAAATGAAATGTTATTGAATTGTTTAGTTCCTCATGCTTTTATCTCGAAAAAGTGTTTTTTTCATTTGCCTCAATGCATCATTGTTTTAGAATTTACATGTAAAATAAGCCTACACATTCGTCAATAAAACTGCCTTAAGAGTAAAAGTATATAAAAGGCGACGTTTCGGGCAATGCCCCTTCTTTATAGCCACACAGATAGAGAGACCAGGGAGTTAGCGCTCTCCATCTTCACAATGAGAGATTGATCCCTACCTCTCTGGCCTCTCCATTCGTGCGGTAACAAGGAGGGCCATTTCCCAAAATGTCACCGATTAGAAACTTCTCCTTTTAATGCTGCAGTGTTGCTGACAAGTGCGTTGTTTGTTCTTGTGCACCGCTGCCAACGTGCGGTTTGCTAAAATGTCAAGAGTAAATCCACGCACGCGATTGATTCAATGCGAACTCTCTGGCCTCTCTATCTGTGTGGCATGACCGTAAAGGCAGTCTCAACATGCTTTTATGTTAATGAAATTATACATTTTTACTTATCTCCCCCCCCCCCCCCCCGTTTGAGGGAATGCAGATTTGTACCTTTAAAAGCAACATGATCAGGAATACTATATCTACCTTGGCTGAATTCTAATTCGTGAGCAGAGTCCACGGACTTCAAAGGAGACCGCAGCCTTAAATTCCTCACACCAGAAAAAGTCCACAATCGTGGCAGTTACTTTTGGCACGTCCTCTGCCACCCCTGGCAGGCTGACAGACAAGGCGAGACATCTGCGTACACAAAACAGAAGGGGCTTGCTAATGCCACGGCCGGGTGTCTCGGCGTGACGTATCTCCTGTCCATGACCCATGGGGGGAGGACCTCCCCCTCCTTCTTGTTCAGGCCACAATGAGGGTAACTGTGAATCAGTACCACGCGGCAAGGAGGCACTGCTCACCTGCCCATCCGCGAGACACAAGCCAGACTCGGCATTCCGACTGTTTCCTAAGCGTTGGATGGTGACATACACCCCGTCCTCGATACGAAGGCGTTTCAGACATCTAACATTCCTCAATGCAGTATTCATTGCAAGCACCGTATAAGCCAACACACTCTTTAATGATACATTAATAGTTTTGTTTCTATAAAAGTATGGTTTTGTTGGTGTTGCTATGCATCACCTGGATTATTTAAGAACACGTGGGTACAGTTCGAAAGTTGACACGCGAGATGAGGGTGCATGCATGTGGGTTTTTGCAGGGAGTAAGTCAAGAAAAATCCCGAAATAGAATGTGCCATGGAAGTTGCGCGGCTAACCGCACAACTAAAACAAAAGCGGCGGAGTAACGACCACAACAGCTGCGCCGCCCCGCTGTGGCCCTGGGATTACGATCGAGCGAGTGGTACAAAGTCACACAGTGGCATAGCATGCTTGGAATTAGGTCTGGTGAGAATAATCTATTACAACCGTGTTAGTGCTATTTGTCGTTGGCTCGCCGTGACGTTTCTGGCCTTTGGGCCTGTGATCGGCAACTGTGTTTAAGACAATCATGGCCCCCTTGTCCTAATTTCGCCCCTGTCTTCAGAGCACGGTGCCTGTGCCCCCCACCGGCCCAAGAACCCCCTCGTGCAGTTGCACCGCCTGCACACTCGGCAAGCGAGGACGCTGAAGCCGCGGCGGGTGAGTGGATCCGTGGTGGCCCAGCCAACCCGGTGGGGCAAGCGGCTAAGCACGTGACTTTACCCGCGTCACTCGGGAGCTTCTCATCGCCAAAAAATGGCCCCCCGAAGAAACGTGGTGTTTTCATAACGGGGAAAAAGTGACAAAGGCCAGAAGCAACCAAGCCGACTGGAGGCCTGTGATAATACTGTGCCAAAGTAAAAGCACCCAGGAGCTGGCTGACTTACTGCACGACACAGTTGGTGGGTGATGAGTACATTTTCTGTTGAGTTCATTTTAAGTTCACCATGACAGGTAATGGATTAAATAAATGAAAAACACGTGTATGGTAAATGTGCACGGTCAAATCCTTATTTTTGAGTAACGTAGCGATGCTAAAGCAACACAATAGTTCACGGAGGGCAAATATATTTATTTAATCACTTCTCCTGCAGTTTCTGACCAGACAGGTTTCCCCCACCCCCAACCTGGTTCCGGTCGTAGACTTCCAGACATTAAAGGGTTAAAACGTAAAGTGCCCACCAAGGCATCTTTGCACAGAGCCCCCCCTTTGCCATTGTCTGCCCTCAGATAATAATGGGCACAGGCTCTGTTAAATCGCCAGCTGTCAGAGGTGGTGTTCTGTAACCAGGAGAAAAGGTGGGGGGGGGGGGGGGTTGGCGTGTTTTTTTAGGCTTGTTGTTTATTTATTTATTTGTATCTTGTCATCATCGTCCCCCCCTCCCCACATTTAGGTCATGCTGCTGAGACTTGCCTCAAACTGACAATTGAACCTTATGGCGGGACCCCGGGGTCCCATAAGCCCCCGGCTCTCGTACAAACTGCGTTGCGACGTCATTCTGTGTCTGTTGAAGGCGAACGACGCGGTGATCTGTTCCTCTCGACGAGCTTTACACGATGCGCTAATCAACGTTTCCGAGTTTTGTTTATAACTTACGGCAATTTTGGCAACGACGGGTGCTTGGGTGAAGAACGAGAGGATTGATTTCTGGTGGGTCGCGGCGTTCATGTGCGCGGTGGGACGGAGTCGCCAGAAATAAATTAACTAATTACGATTTTGACTTCCGTTTATTCGGGACCCTGGGGTCCCGCCACAAGGGTTCAACGGTTAGGCTTGGCATTTTGGCAACGTCTGTTGGTATTCCTTCTAAATGGAAAAACGAATTTCTTTAGAACGGCTTTTTGTGTTTGCTTTGTTGTCCTTCCCCACCGCACCTCTGAATGAGCACGGTTGGCTACGTACGGTGCGAGAGAAGTTCAACATACATACACACGTACAAATGTTTTTCACGATTCGACAAATGAAAATAAACCAACGCTGGATGAAGGCAGTACCACACCAGGTCGACCATGGGGGTCATGTATCCATACTTCACCACGCTGGTTACTGCGGAGCGGTGAAGGAGTGTGCCCGAGCACAAATTCAGATATCACTCGGCACTTAACCATGACCAGGATTCAAACTCAGGGTGCCTGTTCACAGCACACTGTGCACTAACCACTGGCGCCCCTGCTGTATTTAATCGTAGATATGTTAAGTATTTCATTGTTTAGTGCACAGTATGACAAATTACGTGAATGATCGCTGCTTAAAAAAAAACACAATAGAAGCCAAATTGTCCTGCTTCGGTTTTCACAGTTGTGCTGTTTATCAGTACGGTGTTTTTTTTCTTGTTACACGAGGCATTTGACTTGTTCCCCGACGTTTCGCTGCACTTGATGAGAGCTTCTTCACGAACTGAATAGGGCAGCTCCTGTTCGCCCCATTGCTTGCGTGCGGTTTGCTGGCCGCTGCTCTGAGCATAAAGCAGTCCCAGCGCCATGCACCCTAACCCCACGCACCGGAGGACCCACTCAGCGTCACGTTTCCCTTTCAGGTTCTCGGAAGGCTCCGCCGTGGCGAGGAAGGTCTAGTCGAGGCAGCTCTGGATGCCTCCCGCCGGCTCACGCGATGCCAACTCGGGCCGCCCAGGCTAACTGGGACCCCCCGACCCGCACCTCCGCCCTGACCCTAACCTTGACCCTCGTCCTGACTGTGACTCTATCTCCGCCACTGTCGCTGCCACCACCATCCCGCGTCTTCTGGGTGCCCCTGCTTCTTCTGGTGATCGGTTCGAGCCCCGCTCGTGGACGAGACTTCACGGCGCACGACATCCAGCGACTCTACCCATCCAGTAAAGGCACATGGGATGGGGCGAGCCGCGGGTAGTTCTCGTGCTCAACACGATCACCGTCGGGGCCACTGTCTTTGCACGGCTCCGGTGTGTCAAATCCGACCGTCGCCAAGGAGTTAATGATTCCGAAGATGTATCCAGAGCTTGCAATCCACTGCGACATTGGTGCTAAAGAGCACGTGGCATCATTTGCAAGAACGGAAAATAGCGTGCGGGTGTTACAGCTTAAATTCCTGGTTAGAATGCTGCCTGTGATTGGATAGGTAATGTTCAATAGCTGCACCTCCGTGCCCAGCATTCAAATCTCCCGTGCATAAAAGGCAAGGCAGTCTCCGAGAGCTGTCGCATAGTGAAATGTAAAGGAAAGCATTGCATTCCGACGATTTCACCCAGCACTCAAAACATTCATTTAATATTTAACACAGAAGACAAAAGGATGTGGGTGGGAGCGAGGGTTGGATTGCACCGTGTCTGGGTTGCTGGGAGGGTGGGGGGCAGGGCTGGGGTTTGGGGAAATAAGGGAGATGGGAAGGAGACAAACAAAGTGGTGGGCAAACACACAATCATAAAAGCGATGGGCGCCTGGAACTCGCGGAGAGGGGTAGAGGTCAACCAGGCTGTGAGGTTAAACACAGCAAAAGCTGCGTCCCGTGCCACCGGGTTTCAGGGTGGTCAAACAGAGTTCCATCGCCGTAAAAATTCCCGCCGTCGAATCCATTCGCTTCCCCCGCAGCGTCTTTCCACAGCCCGTGACACGCTGACAGGACTGTTGAGCGTGCAGACATTTAATTACGAGACAGCTCACTCTCTTATTTATCCTGTTCCTCCAGCAACTCCTTACCCGGGGGCCTTCAAGTGCTTTACGTGCGAGGATGCCAAAGACAACTACGAGTGCAACCGCTGGGCTCCCGACACGTACTGCCCCCGAGGTGAGCTTCCCGCTCGCCGTCAAACCAGAAGCTCGGCACGCAAGGGACACAACGCGGGCGACACAACAGCCTTTCGGCGGTGAACATTTTTTTCAAACAATTTTTTATCTGACCAAGTAAGGCCCCACTGAGCTGCTATTTAGCTCTGTTTTCAGAAGCGACCTGGCTATCACAAATGACCGCTCAACGAAGTGGCTTACCGTGTGGCAATTGACAGCCACATACTCTAAACACGTGATGTTGGTTATAAATGTGGAGGGAAAAACACCGGAGGACCCGGAAAAAAATCCACACGGCCACGGGGGAGATCGAACCCACGACCTCCTGTATACCAGGCGAGGTAGTTAACATCTCCTAGCCACCGTAGAACATCAACGCAAGTGGAGCATAGCTTCGAAATCACCGAACCAGTTATTCAGTGATGCTGCTGCTCTATTGGCACTGGCGCACAAGCACGATGAACAGCATTAACTCAAAACATTTCGTCAATGACACTGTGGCCTTTAATAGCCGACGACACAATGTCCCGTCTTCATAGGGCATGCATCTAAGCTGAGGAGGAGCCATAACCCAAAACGTCACCCGTTGTATATATTGTTTTTCTTTAAAGGCCACAGAGTGTTATTGATGACAGCACTCGCTCCGACGGTCTGTTAAAAGCTACACAGGGATATTTGTCTTTTTGTGCGTACTGTAAACACACGTTTGTAAATAATCCCTGCCAAAAAATAAATGTGATTAAGCAGCATCTGCCAACAACCTGCTGTGAAATTCATCCCCATGCACAACCACATTCACCTCTAACAATTTGCGTGATGAAAAAACAACATGTGATGATGATACTGAGGTGCGAGGCACGTGCGTTGCAGAGCGCAATAGAACTTAACAACGTGGTTCTGACTATACTGAACGTTGCAATATTGGTACTTTCTCGCTTGCGGCAATCGTAACAAGAGTTGCATGTTATGCTTGTATGCAATGTTCACTGCATCGACAATAACGTTCATTTAACTGCATAAATAAAATCTCACGTTATGGTAGTTTGCTTAAAATGTAACGATAAAACAAAAATACAGCAATGCGGTAATGGTGTGTTTATAATGAGTACCAACACAAAATGTAGTTTTGGGACCGTTTTTCCAGTATCAAAGTATTAAAAATAAGAATAGGTTTTACCCTTTCTGGAAATAAAACAGGTATGAAATGTTCAAACACTACGATCCCTTTTTCAAGGAATCTTGTCTGCATTAGCTACACAAATAATGCTGTCCGCCTTTTGGCGTCCTTTGGTCTGACACTGGTGTTACTAGGCCATAGAGAAGTCTGTATCTGGTGTAGGCCAATCAGTTTCAAAGACAATGCAGTATATAATTATCATAACATGTTTGTTTGCATGTTCACCACCAGTACGTGTAGTTAATGCAGACTCGATTCCTTGCAAAGGGCATCTATTTGGTGTTTGAACATCTTAACAACACCTGTTGTATTGCCAGAAAAGGGTTAAAACCTATTAATATATTTCATAAAGCTGAAGTTACTTTTCGGGTCAGATCGTGTGGGCATAACGTCAACAATAGCTCTTCACCATCCACCACCTGGCACAGGACAGGTGTGCCGATGGACTTTGTGCGAGCCGGCAACGTTTGTCCGTTGTCAAACTCTAAAATTGAAAAATCTCAGCCGCACGACCGACCCAAATGAAATGCTGCGTATGAGTAAAACCTGTGACGGTACTGTAATGGTATCCTGGGGTGGAGCAGTTAATTAACGTGCTGTGCCATGAACGCGGCGATATGAGTTCGTTTCCCGACCAGGGTTCCGAGTGATGTCTGAACCGTTCCTGGGCCCCCCTTTGCCCAACCCCCACTTGGTCACTGAAGTATGATCAAACAATCCCCATTACCAAGAAGGCCTTCATCAAGTGGTGGCTTTACCAAGGGCAGTAAATTATATAAATATATATTTTTTTATATTGTGCAGTATTCTAATGGGCTCTAATGGGGATAAATACGATATGCTGAGATGAAACTGCACACCTTACGCATCCTTTCTGCACTCCTTTCTGCACTCGCACTACGAATGCTCCGAGTAATGAGCAATCCTGGTCGGAATCACGATTCTATTCATGATCTCCGAGCACTTGAATGGGACTCTAACAGAGATTCTGCCATTCATTTGAATGGACCCGCAAGAATCACCATTGAAGTGAATGGGGATTGCTTGAAAGCCCAGGTGTACATTCATGTCCACGATGATTTCAGCTTCTCCACGCAAACGAATGTGACTCTCGTGGTGATTCCACGATTACCGCGACACGGCACGCTTTTCCGATTCCCCACGGGGGATTCACGAATCCAACAGTCCCGCAATTCTCTTCGGAAACCGTTCAACTCCCAACAATCGCATCTCGTTTTCCGGGCTATCAATCGTGGTAAGTCGCTCAGCACAGCGTGGTAACTTCGCACCACGTTCGACTGTGTGCGTGCACGCATGCAGAGAGCCGATACTGCTACACGTACCACCACATGAGGAGCGGCGGGAGCAGCGTCTCCGTCACGAAGCGGTGCGCCGCCCTCGAACAGTGCCTGGGCACCGGCTGCAGAGACGGACCCCTCGCCGGCGAGCAGGTGACCTCGCCGTGAATCGGCAACAAATGTGGAAACGCCACGAGACGCTGCTCCGCCAGGTTCCAATCGGGTCCCGCCTGGGTGGTGGGACCCGCGCGCACTCGGGGGCACAAGATTTAGCCGGTGACAAAATGGGGACTTTATTTTGCCCGAAGCCCAAAAGTTTTACAGCAGGGCCCCATGAAAATAACAAATTAAACTTTTATATCAAGAAAAATAGGGTTGTTTACTCATACCGTTTTTTTATTTATTAAGGTAGTATGTTTGGGAATGTCGTGTGTGCGTGTGTGGTGTTAAGTGGGGCAGTGGTAGTGCAGCGGTTAGCGTCCCGGCGCTACGAACCCAGCGACCCGGGTTCGATTCCCGCTCACGGTCAACACCAGTGACGATTATCTGAAACGGTCTTGGGCCTCCCCTAAGTCGACTCCGCATAAAATGAGTACCTGGTGCAGTGTGTAAACAGAGGCGGTATGGCGTGGTTCTGGCCACTCACCCCCTTATGTGCCGTGCCGGCCTTCATAGACGGTCGCTAACAGCACTTGCCCCAACAGTATGTTAAGGCTATACGGGGGATCTTAGTCTTTATTTTCGTGTTCAAGAGGATGCGGGGAGGAGATGGAGTGAGTGGGGGAGGAGTTGAGTGTTTTCTGCTCTAGTTTCCCAGAGTCAACGATACCTAAAATGCGCACACCGTTAAGTACAACCGATGCCGCCTCCCCAACCTGGCACCTGCCAACTTCCCGTACAAGTGCACTTCAAGCGACGTCTCGGATATTTGGGCCCAGCGAGTTTGTATTTACAGTAATTCCTCGGTGAACAGCGACATCGGTTCACGGTTTTTCGGTGAACGTTTCGCCTCCCGTAGGAGCCCATGGTTTCGACTAACGTTCACGTTTTTATGAACGGCACGTTTACGTCACGCACGTTGGGACGCCAATTTCGGCCAATCGGAGTGCTCGTAAGTGGGGCTGGGCCATGCCCTCAGCCAATCAGCGGCGCCCATTTATGAGCGTTGCGTTTAGACCTCGACTGGCTTTGTTTACATTTTGTTTTCTGTTTTGGCAATGGGAACAGCTCTCTTGCTCACTCAGTGATTTTTTTTATTTTCGACTCACAGTTATTTTGGCTTACAGCAGTTTTCATGGAACGGATAAAAAAAAAACGTTAACCGAGGAATTACTGTATACTTACGAATGTGGCAAACATCGGTGCTAATGCCGTGCGCATGCACGTGGAAGTATGGCTGCGCGAACATCGGGATTAAAATGCACACGTTCAGTGAGGATGTTCGAGTCGACCTCACAATGCTCCCGTTAAGTTGTGTGGTGCTGCTTGCATGTGCATTTGTTAACGCATTCGTCTCTGCTATGGTTACTGTGCCAGCAGCAGCGGCTGTGCTGAGCTCACTAATCCGTAGCTAATTAAGTTCAATAATGTATGCAGCTGGGACCGTCTATGACAGCTGAACGCACACACACACAATCTAAACATCCCCCCGCAAGCGTTTAATGCCCACTTCTGCTCAAGATCTCAAATTGGATGACTAATCCTGTTCTCTCTCTCTCTCTGTCTCTCCCACGAGCGGCACTCACCAAGTGTCCACTTTGTGGTCGGCAGGAGTGCGTGACTTGCTGCGAGGGCAGCATCTGTAACCTGCCCGTGCCGCTCAACGCCAGCGACTCGGTTTTCGCCACGGTCCTGCCGCTCAGCGCCGCGCGCTCTGGCACGCGTGGTGCACTCCCGCCCGGACGTCTCGCCGTCCTGGGCCTGCTGGCGGGCGTCACCGCTCTCGGCGTCTGACGCCGTCGCTCAATGCGCCACGGATTCCTCCGGATGACGGTTTCAAGGCCCTTGCAGACACAGACAAGCAACGCACGCGCGGGTACGCCGTACTATATCTTTAATTACAGTTGGCGAGCACACAGGCCTGATGGCCCAAATATGCCAAACGGCCAGCAACAAATAGCACTGTTAAAGGTGTTACAGCAGGGCTGGCCCAGAATAGAGGGGAAAATGAGCAATTTTCCCCAGGCCTCGTACAAAACAGGGTCCCACAAAGTGCGTTTATTTTGTTTTTGCTACCTATAAATAAGGGGGCCCCAAGTGGCATTCAGCCGCAAGCCTCCACGATCCTCTGGGTGGCCCTGCGTTAATAGGTGGCCGTTAATATGTTCCATGAATTGAGCAAGGTTATTATGACAACTTGGGAAGAGAGCCGATGGGAGGGAATTCCAAAAGTCGAGCAGTGTGAGGAATGAAAAAAAGGAGAGAGTTGCATTGGGACCTGAAGTGTGGTGGTGGTGGTTGTTGAATGCAGCGTGAATGAAACAAGTCAGTGTGTGCTGGTCGACCGAGTCCTCAACATGGGTGGAGAAATGAAAATGAGTGAAGTTCATGGGAACAGTAACCTTGCATGGTAGTCGTGATAGAAGAGCATCAGCGAGTACCGGATCATCATTAATTTTTCCTTGTTCAGGATTCTGTTTTTAGCGATCATTGTCACGAGCACTATTCACGTCTCAACGTGCAACACCTAAACCGGTTTTTAAACGTTAATATTTTTATGATGGCGACGTGATATTGAAACTGAACTACAATGAGTTTCAAAAGTCCCGGGAGTAATTTCAACAAAGCAATAAAAATAATGGAGTTACTACAACGGATATTCAGCATATCACGATTTTATCACATTTCACTGCTTTATAATACACTTACGAATTGATAGCCGAGTGCTGTCTTCTTTCAGATATTAGGCCCTGCACACACCTGACGATTGGTAGCAAGGGAAACTTGCATCTTGGGAGTTGCTCGGAATGGAGTTCGTGATACTTCTGAGTTGAGGCTTTAAAAAAAAGTTTTTACAATTTCACTGTATTATTGAAAAACACTCACAAATGTGTATAACTTATTTTTATACTCAAAGCGATGTAAATATGTACAGTTTTTCTTATAAAAAAATAAATACGTTTGTACCATAAAACTTGTGTTAAATTGTTTACAATTTGATCAAGGACCTGTGGACGAGCAACACACACACGTTCACAAATGCGTTCTGACAACGGCGCATTGGCAGAAGAGCCACTCCAGCCTCGGCAGTTTCACTGCCATCCCGCGTCCGTAGACAAACCGTACAGCCTCGTGTTCGCACTCCCCACAACAACAACAACCAACGACAACAAAAAACCGCGGCGATCTGAACGCTAATTCATCCCTCCTGCCAAATGTCCTGTGTGAGAAGCACTAAACGGCAAGTTCACGAAGGACTCGGGGCTCTCTCTAAGCCGTACATTAAAAGCACTTAGGTTTTAATCCCAGTCGAGTGATCCTTCCAAACATATGCGCTTTTTTTTGTTAAAGAGAGAATGAGTAAGCGGATACGCGGCTCTCCTCCCCCCCCACCCTAACCCCACCCAACCCCCCACACAGCCCCCCTCCCCACCACCCCCGCCACTAGGCCCCCCCACCACGCACCCTCGGCCGAGCCCGTGATGGCATTTTCCCCAATCCAGCCCTTAGCCGCCGTCGAAAACAGGGGCTCTCCATGTCGACGCTCTTAAATGTTAATAAACCACTTAACACAAAACAACACACACACAAAAGCGAGGCTTCGCCGTTGGCTGCTCGCCGTTATATTTTATTTGTCTGTTTTGGCCGGGTGGAGGTCGCTGGCATCAATGGGGTAAAGTTTGCGATGGCCATGCTGTGCCCTTGTTGTTGTCGTTGTCGTCATTGTCATAACGAGCCAATATTCCGTCGTGAAAATGGGCGCCGCGATGCTATAAACGTGACGGGTCTCAAACGAGCGGGTGGAAAATAATAAAAACAAAGCACACGGCCCGCCGTTGCGTGCACACTCGCAAAAAAACCACCACACAACCCCCATCAACAGCGTTTTCTGAAGACGCTCATTTGCGGTCCCCCTTTTGTCTTTGGCAATCGTCAGGATAACATTTGCGCAATTCTGGCAGCAGAAAGTGATGCATAAATAGACAACTGTGGAACCGGTTTTTGCCCTCATCCAGACAGCAGAGTGACCAATGCCCTATTTTGCAAGGCCTGCCTCTGGCGACCGTCCATGTGTGGATGCCGCACTGCCACGCCGTGAGGCCCCCGCTAGCTTGGCGAATGCCGACAAGAAACAACTCTGTGAATGACGACAGAAACCCATGATCTTCATAACAGAAAAAAGAGTGCAGGGCATGAAGCTATGAGCTTCAAACAAGGCACAAAATCAACGCCTTTGAAAAAGCACCCTTGTCCAGCCTGCGCTGTAACCCTGTTCTACTCGTCACGTACAGATTTGATGTCAACGTTTCAGGGAATGGCCCCTCTTCAGAGCGGCGTCTTGCTGTAGGTGCACAATGCAACCCTGAGGCATTGCCCGAGGACACCGTGCGGTGCCTGGCCCCGATAGCGGGTCGCGCGTGAATCGGCATCACCTGCCGCCAAACACAGGTGCTCGTGACAAGGCAAGCGAAATAATCATTTTTAAAAAAGCGGACATGGGCATGAAAGGGCAGCAGTGTGGACTTCGAGGCTCGGTGGACGGCTTGGCCCGTCGTCAAGGCCTTCAAAACCGAGAGCCCCCTCCTCCCCCCGTGGCCGTGAGCGAGCAGCCTTCGGCCGTGCTCGCGTTGATTACCGGGGCCCCCACTTGGGCTGCGGTATGCGGAATGCGGGGGCGCAGCTGCCTCTCTGCAAGTGGAGGTGTCGTTTGGCACGGGAACTGAAGAGGGAGGGCATTATGGTTGAGACGAATTGCCAGCTTCGATAGTGTGGGGGTTTTGCTGGAGGGGGGCTGATTCACCCTCCTTCAACTATTTTTATTTTAGCAGGTAAGGTTTATTTTGCGATATAGATGTTTTTCAGAAGCGACCTGGCCACAAATTATAGGTCAAAGAAGTGGCTTATCATGTGGACATGTATCGCAGCCAAATACTCTAAAAGCGTGTTCATTCTAAATGTGTAGGGAAAAACCGGAGGACCTGGAGAAAAATCCACATGACCGCGGGGAGAACATGCAAACTCCAAACGCACAGGCGTTAAGGGTCGGGATCGAAACCCACGACCTGTAATGCCAGGCGAGATAGTTAACATCTCGCTACCATGGCACACCTATACCCACGTGTCTCACATATTGTACTGACTGCTCACACACGTTGGCTGGCCACGTGCAAGCTTTACGTGATGACGACGATGACGACGATGATACACAAATACACAAACTACCCGCAGCAGTTGCAGCGGGCTGGACACACAGTACGGTGATGAGCGTTGCAGGGTGTGCGTACCAGAGCAGAATGCACGACAAACAGAAGCGGATGGTATCGTTGCCCATCGTGTTATTTGGCGTTGAGCATGCGTTTAAAGTTTAACATTCACTGAGTTGTCATCGTCGTGATGATCCCCCCAAAGGTTTAAATTTTGTATGCAGCACACTCCCCACCCCGTCCCCCAGTCTTTAGACGAGGTCACGCTGCACGGCTGTCGCGTGCGCTGGGCTCAGGGTGTCGTGGGACGGGAGGAAGGGGGCAGAGTTTGGTGTGTGGGCACGCGCTCGGCTCGGTGGCAGCAGCGGCGGCGGCGAGAGCGGCGATCGCCACTCGCCGTCTCCGTGCTCCGCTTGCTGATCGCTGCATTACCCGCACTCTTTCTGGATGGCGAGGAGGAGGAGGAGGGGGAGAAAAACAAAGCAGCGCCATTCGTCTGACCTCTAAAGTGGTGACGGGTTGATATTCTCGACTCCAGGCAGCGCTCCAGCAACTTTGTATGTGCATCGCGGGGCTCTTTCTCGTCTTGCAAGTCGGAACGTGGTGCTGCTGGGATTGAGGCCGGTGCATCTCGGTGGCAAACGTACGGAGGGAGCGGGGGAAACAACGGTTTTACAATTGACACTCTCGCACGCCTGGAAATAAATACCTATTGTTGAGCACCTTGGACTCTCACACTGACTGGCCATCATTGACGATTGGTTTTCTATCATGGGACCTCCTTTTCCAGTACCAAAATATGAGAATAGGTTTTCCCCTTTTTGTCTGGCAACAAAACAGGTGTTAAAATGTTAAAACACAAAAATGAAACCTTTTACAAGGAATCATGTCTGCGTTAGCCACAATGCTTGTGGTCAGAATACAAACAAAAAACATACTCTGATAATATATGCATTGTCCATGAAACTGATTGTGACGTTTCGCGCGCCGCGTTCCTGGCGGATTCATCTGGAACCGAATTCGGAAAGAGCGTTGGAATGACACGACGGTTGTACACAACGCACGCTTGCGTTTGGTCCCATCGATATGTCAAACGCCTTCAATACAAATAAACGGTACTGACTCGAATGGAAAAAATAAGTGAATTGGAAACACGATCAAACAAATGACGAGTGAATCACTGCACTGACAAATTACTACCCCCATCCCCCCGCTCCATGAAGGATAATTGTTGATCTTTTTTTTCCTATGAGCATTCATCAGTGACTGTGCCGCGACCATAAACGTCAACGCTGCACTGAGAACCCGTGCACACAGAGTGACATACTGCGCTTGCCTGCCCCGGGGCCTGTACACTCACGGCTTGGAGAGGTCATCATCACGATCCATGACCCGTAGGTGTCCACTGTACATCTCGTCATTTGTTTCCCACTTTCCTCTGTCTTGTGCCAATAAGTGGTGGCCGCATCTTTCTGGCACCGATCTCTTGCGATGTCGTCGTGGAATCTTCCTCTCATTTCTCTGAACAACAACACACTTTAAATGTTCCTGTTGTTGTCCATCCTGCGTGTGTCCAAATAGTGCCAGTTTCCTTCTCATCACTGCCTGCATCAGTAGTTTTTCTATATGCAACCTTTTTCTTACGACTACGTTGGTCATTCCTTGGGCACAGCTAAGATGCAGTGTCCTTCTGCAAGCAATTCATTTCGAGTGGAGAGTTGCTGGCTCTGTAATAATCACTGACTTTGTGCAAGTGCCTCTATTTGAGTCTCTGTGCCACAGTGTCTGGTTGAGTACAGCTCTCCTTGTTAAACTTGATGTTTACAAATAATCTCTCTGGCAATCACACCCAGAGTTTCATTTTAGCCGGGTCCATCCAAGTTGGTGACCCAGAAAATATTTCCGCACCCAACGCCCCACGTCTAGTAAAGAGCTCTGCTGTTTTAGGGTCGTACCTGCGTGTTGTTCGATGTTCGACGTTTCGCTTCAAAGTTGCTGGGGTAGCTTCTTCAGCGCATGCAGTGAAACGTCAGACATCATGCCAGAACAGCACTCGGAGAGCTCAACAGCACAACCACAAAAAAAACCCTCCACGGTGGTTCATGCAGTTCATCTCTTGCTATGCGCCACGTGCCACCCTCCTGCAGTCTACAAGCAACTTGGAAAAACAAATTGTCCTGATATCATCTCTCCACCTTGCGAAGGGCCATATGTCACGAGCTGAGCGACACGTAAGTGAGGAATCATCATTCACCCCGCTCCCCCGCCTGCCGTCTAATGATGACACTGCTCACCTAGGCGTGAAAACATCGAACGGGCGCTGCGGCCCTCTCTCTCTCTCTCTCCCTTGCTCCCCGAAGCTCCCACTTTCCCCCGGAGGTCAGGAATGAGCCTGGGTGTGACTCCTCGCATCCGTCACTCACGGGACACACAGGCGGCGAGAGCAAAGTGCCCTCCGGCTATCCGCAGCGCGTTCAAACATTGCCCTCCTCACTGCACGCGTGTGTGTTTACGGTAATTGCCGGATTTCTGTGCTCTTAAGGGGCCGTCCATAAATGATGTCACGCGATTTTGGACGATTTTTGACGATTTTTGTCCCCCCCCCACCCCTTCGTCACACGGCGTCACAAAAATTCAGACCCCCCCCCCTCAAATATGACGTCACAAAGCTCTGCCCCCCTCCCCCCCAAAAAAAAAAACATGCTTGAAATTGCTTTAACCTATTGTCATTGTAGTGCGTATTTAATGTGGCGCTGCACTCTGATATTGTAGGAGAAAACATTTATTTACAAGTCTATTTAATTAAGTAGAACGTGTTGTCTATATTTATTTAAAGTTGCGCATTTTGATGTGACGTCA